AAAAAACGTTCGACTTAAGGTTGTGTTTGGTAAACCTAACTGATTAGCCAATTTATAGCTTTTAAGTGAATTTCAAGCTTCCAGTTGATAGCTTATAACTTATGACTTATGGCTGAAAATAAAAAGGTTTGGTAAAATTAGCTGATAAGCTAGCTGAAATAAAAAATCTCAATTTGAAAAACTACCTAAGGAAGCTTATTTCAACTGGTCCTACCAAACTAAACTTATTTCAATACAGGAAGCTTATAAACTAATCAAACAAGTCCCCATTGAAATAAGCTAATCTAAGATTCGACTCGACTTTGACCCGACAGGTCAAACGGGGAGCCCAAGTACCGGATAGACCTGACGGGGCAAGGAAGGAATATTTTCCCAGTGAATGCTCGTGGGATTATGCGGATGCCCCAACGGTGGTGCATGTTGGACCACGAGAAGGCGGCTGGGGACAGGACAAAAGTGCAGGTTCACTATGAGAAGGCGTGTGGGCCCAAGGGTGGGGACTGCACGAGCCTGGCGCCTGGGGGCTCGTGCAGTAGGCTCGATGATATGGAGAAGGTTTCTTATGCGTTCAATATGAATTTCCAGTCTCACTTTCAAGATGAGGAGCAGTGTTGGTATGAGGGGCTCGGGAAGGTAGTCACGGAGGACCCGTCGAGGGGGACCTGCGTTTTCCCGGTCGAGGTTGTCAAGGGTCAACAGGACAATTTCAAGAATTAGAAGAGTGGGGTCCACAAGGTACGAAAGGCTTTGAGGGGTAGTAAGTGCTCTCAGTTTTGATGTTACGGTCGAGTGTTTGCTGAAAAGAAAGGAATGGGGAAAGAGGGAAAAAAAAAGTTTTGTGGGTGGATCAGACGGTCAAAATCCTGCTGAAACTGGGCAAGAAAGAAATTTATCTTTTTTAAGGGCCTATCTATGCCAGGACAACAAACGGCATTCATTTTTTGCAGGGAANACCCGAATCGAGAAAAAACACACAAATCGAAGAATTTGAACAAAATCAATGAAAGAGAAACAAAAAAAAAAATACGGTATGACGTTTACTTGTAGAAAGCTATTGACATTTTGACCAAAGTACACATGAAAAGTCCCTTAGTTTCAGTAAAGGGTTTCTCGTTTTTCTTCTTTTCTTTTCTTTTTTTCCCCGCTCATGGTTCTTTCTGGTATTAAACTTTTGTAGCGTGCTCAAGTCTAAATTTTTGACAAACTTACTGCAAGTTTGATGAACAAAATCGACATAAATAGACAAAGTGTATACGAGTCAATTCCCACAGTTGAAGGGTCTAACCGGGATGAAGATGCAACTTGCTTTTAATAATGGCACAACAGAAGGAAGTAGAGAGAGCGCGTGAAGATCCATTTTCTTTGAAGAACTCCAATAATGTATCATCTCCGAAGAAGCTTTAGTACATCCCCAACAAGATGCAACGAGCCCGTAACAAGAACCTGGAAATTCATAATCACAAATATACAAAGCAATCAGCAAAATCCTTAGTTATGACATCTTTCCATTGTAATATAATGCGGAATAATTTCAAGAACTACAACTGTTCAGCTTGATTTTTATTTATTTTAAAAAATGCCTCTTTTGAATTTCATATTAAAAATACCTGGATTCTGTAGGCAGGATTTTCCTTAGCATAATTCCTTAACCAGTTGATAGTCATCGGCAGAGAAGAGACTACAGCACTGCAAGTATTTATATCCTCCACAGGACTGCAATTAGATATATCATCATCGAGACTGAAACTTCGTGGCAGAGTAGTGTTCGGTTTTTGCATCTCAAAACTCTTGCTAACTGCATATGATTGGGTAAAAAAAAACAAATGAGGATTTTAATCCAAATGAACCAAAAAGTAAGTGATATCTAAGTTTGCCTTGATACTATATAACATCTTCCGTAAAGGTATGTACTTCAATTTTCATTCCATATATGCCCCTAATTGTTAATCTGGGATCAGATGAGTACATTTGTGTAGATCCATTTTTTACGGAAACCATGCTGAAAATGAACAAAAATTAATTGGTCGTAATCGCATGAACTGATAAATGCAACAGATTAACTGTGTTGAACATCTTAATATGCATGAGAGGAGCTCATGACTAATCTTTTAAAAAAAAAGTTCGGACAGGGTTTCAAGAAAATATNNNAAAAAGGGGGAATGGAGGTGACCTTTTCCATGAATAATTTCTTCCCATACTCTCTGAAGATTAAACTGCCAAGTTAAATCCTTGGAGGGGATCTCCATAGGAACAGCTGACGAACCAGAGGTGACCTTGCTGTATGTTGAGATACTCGGAACAAAAATAGCTTTTGTGAAGTAAGTACCTGAGATAGATAAGTTGGGGCTAAGTCTCATAATGACTAAGCTAGACAAAACTGGGACGGATAACAGAGAAAAAAAAGATACCAAAATAAGAAAAGAAAAAATATTGTCCATGTACTTCGTCACATTCTTTATTTAAATTTTAACGTATTGTTACGTCACTTAAAGCTAAATTCACATTCAGGACTTCATATAGGCCATGCAGAGAGAAAATTCCATGGGAGTCGAAATATGATTCATAACAAATAACAGCCACGGTTAAGGCTTTATAACTAAAAAACACGTGTGGACCCCATACCCGATAAAGCACACGTATCAACAAGTGTTGGAAGAAGGATTTGGGGATCTCTCACATCCATACAGTTGAATAAGAGGATCTGCAAAATAAAAGGCATATAAAATAGAGGAATGATTTATATATGCATAGACTTTAACTACTTTTTAAATAATGTGAAAAGATCCCTAGAAAGTCTTTACATTCTTGAAGATTTTGACCGAGTCATTCTTTCCCGGTTGAACATGACCATTGCTCCAAACTTTGTTCAAGTGAGCAGCTGAAGGCTGGTTTTGGTTTTCTTTAACAGCACTCGAAAACCACCCGGCACAAGCCTCCATGCTTTCGGGACTGTGGGCCCCATCCAAGTAAAAGACCAAATCTCCTGAAGTACTATTTTCGATTGTTCCATCTGAATCTGACGATTTTGAGTGTGAGTCGTGAACAATCTGCGCCCTTCCTAAAAGACGTGCTGTAGTGAGACCCCTTAGAAATGCCTCGGGCAAATTATCTTCCAGGTCAGCCTGAAGGTAACGTCCAAACAGATAGTTTAAAAGGGCCCAAGAAAAAAGAGTAGACGAAATGTGATAAACTCGAGGGAATCATCCAGTAAAAGTTCCAAGAATTGACAATAATGAATTGTTAAATTGAAGAAGTGGTCTCCCCAAATTAACAAACAAAAACAAAAAATAAAAAGAATGAGGAAAAGAAGTATTCTTGTGGCTGCCATTATGGCACGATCTCGGCATATCTATTCCTTTGTGTAAGAGCACTCTGTCACTACTTTTCATGTACTTTCAAATGCAAACCATCACATTCATTCTCCGTTTTCAACAAAAATTCCATAGAAAGTCAACAGAATCAGTACATTATCTTATTTCAATAAACCCATAATATTTGAAGTTTCTCACTATAAAAACTCAAATAAATTAAGAATTATTCACCAGCATTCTATCATACAAGCTGAGGCACAGGTTTCATAAATCCCGTTATATGAAAGGTCTTCTATGCCTCAAAAATAAAATAAAAAAATGAAGAGAAAAAAAATCGACAAAACAGGATTATGTTATGAGTTAAACTGACATGTTGGAACAGCTTCTCCCAATTTCCTGTTCTTTGGAGCCAACTTTTACAAAGAGCAACAGCAAGACCAGCATTGGTCAATTGGTGGTCGCCCGACAAGCTTAGTTTCTTTTCTTTTAATTTTCTACGATCAAGAGCAGCAACAATTTCCAAAGGGACCTGCAACAAATAATATCTGGATCAAGGAAAAATCAAGTAATCAAAAATCAAGAAAATGAAAGTGTCAGACTCCATCATCAAATAATCAAAACTCAAGGTTTTATGGTGTCTTGTACTTTTGCATTTATGAAAATTTAGGTCAAACGATCAATAAAAATATATAATGGGCTTCATGTTTTGCAATAAAAAAGAACTGACTAGAGAGAAACCTTTTTATTCTAAAGATATTCATTTCTTTTACTAAAATATTTCATACAACATGACCCCGTCAGACATACAAACAAGAAAAGGTCACATACCATCAGATTTTGGGCCTTCTCCCAAAGAACATCCATAGCTTCACATAATTGTGGTACCGTGAAGGCAGGGACTTTAGGCTTCACGAGCAGAGAAGACATTAAACCAATTCAAAAAATACTAGAAAGTCGAAACTGCCAATTCAAATGTAAAAGGAATTACACAATATATAACGTTTATGAAAACTCCACATTGTACGGGTTTCCCATTAATAGTTTTGTACCTTAAAAATTCCAGCTTTTTGAGAAGCAATCTTGCCCAGTGTATCTCCTGAATATAAGAATTTAAAAAAATGGTTAGCTTCTATAATTTTGTTAATAAAAATAAAAAAATAGTAGAACAGAAGAGGATCTGAGTGTTATCCCATGTGATCACTTATCAGGTCCACTCGAAATAATAGATCAGCAGGAATATGAGAGAAAGAACGCACCCAATGTTTCCATATGATCCATTCCCAGTGGGCTAACCCCACAAACTACAGGGTTCTTGATCTGTTCAATAATGACCATAAAATATTATAATGATACGATGTACTTAAAATAGAAGTCACTAAATGTATAACTCGGGCATTTCAAATCCACAAAGTTGACTAAATCATCTGAATATAGATATAAGAGTTACCACATTCGTTGAATCTCTGGTCCCACCAAGACCAACTTCAATTATAGCAACATCAACCTGTGAAAACAAATCTCACTAAAAGATACGATAGAATAATGCATATACTTCGGGCCCTGGCCTCCATCTTTGTACCAAAAAAAAATAATAATAATGCATATACATTTAGTATGTAACAAACGTTAAAGTTAAGGAGTACGAAAGATGATACCAAATAACCAACCTTTTCACTTGCAAAAATCTTAAAGGCCATAACAGTGAGGAACTGGAAAAGAGGTGGCATAGGCAAATCATCAGTGATATTCTCCTGCAAGAAACACACGGTTAAGCAAGTCAATAGTTGAAAATTGGAATGTAATACGAAGCCAAAGTAGAATTCGAATGTTAATAATTATAGGATTAGGTTTTTATAGTATATAACTTTGATACAAAGTTCCTTTTTCTATCTTAAACACAAAACAAGGGGGAATTTTTTTAGTTTTTGCCCGGTCCATTTCATTTCAGAAGTGAAATTCAACCATCTTTCTGCACATTATACCCGACCATTTATCTCCATTTATATGGTAATATTAATAATTTGCTACTTGGCGTGGGAAATCAAGGTTACCACTAACCAGTTATCCCATGGAGAGGATTATCAGAAAGAACCCAAAATTCAAAGACATCCTAGGCTACATGTTTTTACTTGAGTAGTGGAATTTAACGAGATCCACATTACCAAATTCTAGAAAGAATTTAATAGAAATATGAAAAAATAACAAGAGAACTAAGTGTATTCGCATACCTTCAGCTGATGCCAACATTCCCAAAAATAATGGAGAAACTTTTCTTCAGATATATCCAACCTACAAGAGAACAAAGATACATAAGTGATTATGATTCCCAAAGATCCATAACATCTACAATGACGAAGGTAGTAACCAGGGAATATAAACAATGATGAAGGTTGTCCGGGGGTCACCTAGTGCATTTATGATTCAACTATATCTATTACAGCAAATATAATTTTCACCCCTTTTTCCTTAAATTTTTTACCAAAGCAGAAAGAGCTTTAAAAAGAAAAGAAAAAAAAAACACAGCAATAGTTATGTGGATCTGTAGCAACTTTTAGTAACCAGTAGCAATAATATTGATATATAAGAATTAAAATGCTAACCCATCTAGGCGAAATCTTTCTCTCACATCAATTAAATGTGGTGATGTAAATAGTCCAGTCCTGAATCCACATTCCCTCAGAATTGCCTCACAAAAAGCGCATGTTGAACCCTGAAATGTTAAAGGTAAAAGAGCCTTAAAGAAACAAAATGTTTGTATCCTGGCAACGTCAAGTCTCACATCTCCTCTCCCTATGGTCGAGACGCCTTACCAGGAAAATCACTTTTATTAAAAACATGTCAGTTCTGATGGTTCAATAGATAAGACCAGAATTGTTGAACTATTTATTTCAAAGAATACTTAAGCCTCATTCCAGAAAATGATCGTCCTTTTTTACATTCCAATATTTATCTTACACAGGGAGTAGAAGTGAGAAAAAATTTTAGATATCAACAAGTGATTCCAATATTACCTTTCCTTTAGTCCCAGCAACATGAATTATTTTAAGCCCGGCAATATGTTCTTCCAAGCCCAAAATCTGACATGGCAGCATGCATTTATTTCTCACTTGTAGAAAATTCCATAAATGTGTACAGTTAAGCAATTTCTAAGGCATTATAAACACAATCCTAAAGGGCTATCCTGTCAAGACTTATAAGATACAGCATCACATCCAGAATAGAAAATATCCAAACAAAATCAGTGAAACTTTACTAGAAAACATATAACTTCGGTTTGAAGTTAACTATATCAATAATTACAGGTCATATTCAAATGCCCTGCATGTCCAAACGGTAGACCAGATCCATCCAAGTGCTTGAAAACTGTAGTAAGCTTCTCGAAATGACGGTTAGATTTTATGCCCGACTATAAGCTAGTAAAAATCCCTCAATGTAAAGAAATCTAGCAGCGGAAAACGAATTTTTACGCCTGTGTAATCCTAATTTACATGGGGTAAAACTACAATTAAACAAGAATGGCAAATTGGCTACTTGGTTGTCCTTCACACTAGATAAAGACTACAAAGATAGTATCATGTGCAGTTCCTATCAAGTTACCTTAACATACATCGACATTCTCTCCAATTTGCTGTACTTATCACTTACTGCTGACCCATCTCCTCGTCTTTTGCTAGAAATGAGGGACGAAAGTGCCTCCATTGCAGCATCATATGAAGATGGAAGGTATGAATCTGTCGGTATTTCTTCAATCGTATTGTTGTTCTCCATAGGCTCCATAAACTCAGCTGCTAAACCTAATATATTTAAGACAAATATGTTAAGAAACTCGAAATGACCCAATCATGACTGAGCATTAACCAAATGATAAATTTTTGTATTTTCTTTTCAGTTTTCATATACACCAAATGTAAGTGATTGTCACTGCACCTTTATGTCCTGTTTGTACTCGCGAGTGCAGTCCCTTGATTGCAATTTGACCAAAGGTATTCGAGTAAGGAGGCAGGCATGAAGCTTTCAAAGGCAATCCGGAGGGAAATATGTCTTTCCTCCGATACAAGCCCAAAACGCCAGCTAAGCCCGGTCTCAGAAAGAGGTTTTTATACTTAAGCATACGTAAATCAAAACCTGAGGGACCACAAACTATCAATTAGGAAAACCGTGCATTGCCGCCTCTTGAAAGTATGAATCGGATGAGAATATGACCACAAACTGAAAATTTTACATGTAGTATCTTCATATCATTTAAGTAACATGTGAAGCAAAGTACTTTCTCCAGAGCCTAGAATAAAAGGACACAGTCTTACAGAGTCTTTACAACCTACTGCAGCAGCTAAAGATGGATTGCAAACTAAAATATGGTATCTTTAAAGGAACTGAAATGTTGACACACAATTCAAATGAAAGGAAATGAAAACCCATATATAATAAGCACAGCATGTATGTTCAGAAAGATTCATATTCGAATCCGGCAAAACTACAGAAGGGCATATCCACAAGTTAAACATCACAGACAAAATGTGAACAACTTAAAGCAAATCTAATGACTGAAGAAGGAACCAAAAAAAAAAAAAATCTTTACCATAGCCACCAATATAACCACACACATAAAAATGTTATCTTTCAGAAAGACTCAGTACCCTTCAAGCTCGCTCTTGAGTTTTGAGCTCCCACTACATCATATGATACCAAGCAGACAATATTTCGAAACTTCCAAGAATGAATTTTTATGAAACCAATCGAAGTACAAAAACATTCAGAACAGAGAACTAAATCAGTTGCACAAACAATCAGACAATGGAATTCAGAATACAGATAGAAGAAACCTACTGAACGGAGTCAGACCCTTCGTGTGCGTTTCTTATGGAGATAAACCCTCCGCCATTTTCCCTTTCTTCTTTCCTATAAAAAGAGTATCAAGTGTAGTCGAATCTCAGAGAATATTGCTGGTGTGTCAGTCTATCTGTCTCTATCTCTGTGTGTGCGCGTTATGTTAGTCCTCAATTTGTGGTTGTTGAGTAACTTCCATTTTATAGTCTCCAGTAGGGATCCACAAAACCGAGCCGAAACTGGAAAATGGAATCGAATCATGCATTTTGGTTTGCGTTTTTAGTTTGGAAACTTTNNNCTATATTGTGGTGCAATTTATTTGTTTTTTTAATAATGTCAGTTTTCAATTTTCTTATTTCGGTACAATTTTGTACTAAACTACACCAAATTAAATAAACTTGAATAGAAAATTTGAGGTAAAATCGAAAATCCAACATAAACGTACATTTCAGTGCGAATTGGTTGATTGTTTTGAGTGTATAAAATTCTATGATTGGTTTCACTTTAGATTTTTTTTTTTCTTTTTGTGTTTGTGGCATTGATAATGTTTCCCAAATTAGTGCGACAGAATTTATTCCTGGTTTTTTCATATTTATTCTCTTCTTATTTTCTTTGCTTTTGGGGTGCCGACTTGCATCAATAAAAAGAAAAATAAAAATTACATTTTTTCCTTCTTTTGTATACAAATGTTCAATTTTGTAAGGAACCATAAAATCTAAATTTTAATGTGGGTAAAAGCTGAAATATTGGGATTTTGGATATATTTTTATTTTGGTTGACTTCAAATTATGTACTACCAATTCTCCAAAAGTATTGGAACAGTTTTCCATTGACCTTGGAAATAATTATGAACACAACTCTTTTGACACTCTTGTAAAAGTCTTCTGGGTCAGATATTCCCTAAAGGCTAGGGATGCGGAAATTGTGTGGGAATTTGGGTTATCGTGGCTGAAAGAAGTTGACCACGCCAGATGTGGTTTATCACCTGATGGGTTACGCCCAAGTTTGAATTCTATAGCTTTCTGGCGAGGATCAGGGAATTGCAACAATGGAAGAACAATGTTTTGCGATGCGGCAGTTCGAGACTCGGAGATCGGACTAGGCTGTTGGATTCGGGAATTTACAGGAGTTTGTATGATGGCCTTTACCGCCCGTATGACTGGTTCTTTTTCCCCTCTTTTGGCGGAAGCCTTAGCTATTCGACACGGTTTAAGAATTGCTATGGACTTGGGCATAAATCTTCAGTCGGTTTCCACGGACTCTATGGGCGTCATTAGTGGTCTTTCCCACCGAGAGGAGCTCCACCCATTGCTTGGAGTATTTGACGATATTAGAGCCCTGCTCTTTTCCCTCAACTGCAGTCGATGCGATCATGTGCCAAGGGACTAGAATGAAGTAGCACACAACTTGGCGAAGAGGGCGTTTGTATCGCAATCTTCTTATGTTTGGAGTGACAATCTTCCTATTTTCTTTCCCTCGTTTTTTGTAACTCTTGTTATGTGATTGTATGTTATCAATTTATTAGCGAAAAAAAAAACAAATAAGTTTATAAACTTTGGTATGTTTATAGTCTCACTTTCAATGTCTCATAACCAACCCCTGATTTCTGCACAATTTTTCAATGTAACATTTTTATTTTTTTTAAAAAAAGAAAAAAGAAAATTGTGGCCTAGCAAATTAGCCTTTGACTCATTCATCCAAAGGATTATGCACCTCTGTTGTAATCCATAGGCTGATTATAATGCCATTAGATTGAACCTTCACAATAGATTTTACCTTACAGGAAAATAAAAATTTTAAGCTGAAAAAAAAGTGAAAATTTATATATAAAGAAACAAAATGCATCTAAATGTCACAAACATTGTTCTTCAACAAACCACCCACAATCCCATTTGTGCTGCTGCCACCAAAAAAACCAAACCAAAGTTTGTTGATGAGGGTAGAAAAGAAAAAGGAACAAAATAAAAAATAAAAAATAAAGCAGCATTAATCTGGTTAAATGAAAGTACTACTTTGTCTACAATGGATATGGCCAGCAATAAGAGAATCAATATTTCCATTCAAGACTGCATTTACATCAGAAAATTGGACTCCCGATTTCAGGTCATGCACCATATTGTTTGGCCGAAAAACATATTTTCGGGTAATTTGACTCCATCGGTCAATCGAAGCAACTTTCTTGATATTTTCCACGCTTGATATGCCTTGGTCAAGCATAACTACGAGTAGTTTGGCTTTCAAACGATTGAGCGCTTTTAATTTGTTCGCAAAGCGACTCCTTTCGCCTAGCCACGAGACAGTCGCTTAGCACTAGTCAATTGTTTTTCTTACTTATATATGTATTCTATTGGGGAAAAATAAAAGAATATAGACAAAGTCAAGAAGTTCAATGATAACAAAATGACATAATTAATTAATAAATTACCTGCCGATTGGAATTCTAAACCCGTTGGCAAATGCCGGACATGAACTGATGAAGTGTACGAAACCATCAAATCCTCATCATCAATTAACAGACAAGGAGATTTGTCAATGAATAGAGGAATTACATCCACATATGCAACAACGCAAGCCTAAAAATATTTGTAAAGAAAAATCGAGTCCCGTTATAAGCACATTTCAAAGCGGGTCAGAAAGTGAAAAATAACAGCTTATACGCATTAGAGAAACTAACTACCTTCCATACCTCAGAATGAGAAGTAGAATTTTTTTGGAGACTTCTTATCATAGAGTGCACACCTCTTTCTCCCGATAAATACCCGTAAGCGAACTTAAATTCCAACTCAATAGTTGCAGACTTTAAACCGCCATTATCTGAAGGAAAACTCTCTACAATCCTCCCAACATAACCCTGCCTTTCGGCCCATTTCATGTACACCTGTGCCAGCTGTCCTGTCCATCTCTGGATTACATATAGTTTATATTCGATAGGGATCATTAATAGAACTCCTCTAAAATATATAGTCTAAATTAAAAAAGAATTCGAACCCAACCTCAGAATATGAATCTTCATGTCTCGATTCAAGAACAATGCATGCTCCTTCCATGTCGTACGGCTCCTTGAGAAGCTTGGACAGCTCGTATTTGTCCAGATAATTGTTCAAAGACAAAGAAGTACTGTACGCTTGCTTTAATAATGTGTAGTTAACAGCATCTGTTTCGGCAAGCTCTGTTATAAGTTTAGCTTCCTCTGCCTAAAGATTCCAAAAAAAAAAAGTAAAAATAGAGAAATAACCTTGGACCAATATTTTGTGTTAATAAGGCAAAAAACTTCATGCAATATAGAGCAGCCAATAGGCTAAGCACTCTGAACAAACTGAAGCAAAAAGAAGCAAATTCGTAATAACACCTTATACGTGAGATCCTTGAGAGTATCAACCACCTTGGCACTTTCTGCCAGCTCATTCAGGATCTCGTTTGATTTGCTTAGGTCATCCCACAAGTTGTAATCTCGAATAACTTCTTCTTGATTGATGTGCTTAGATACCTCGAATTCCAATGCCGTTGGAGCTAACATCTCCACGCGAAGAATAGAATCTTCTATTCTCTTTCTCAATGAAAACATACCTATACGAACAGAAGACAATATTGACAGTCCTCATTTATGGAATAATACCAAAGATTAACTGGGACGGACAAAAGCACCGAGTAAAATCTCCAGACCAGTCCAGAGAAAGGTTCACGAATACTCACAAAAAAATATCATCTGGCTTAAGAGAGAGAGAGAGAGAGAGAAAACACACACACACACACAATAACTTCATCTGCTTCTCTATAATTTAGCTAAATCTACAGGTCTAGTTCAGCTTCTGATTCTACTTACACAGACAAAGAAAGCAATTTTTTGCCATTTATTCGCCAAAAATCTATCCTTTTAATACTGTTGAAGTTGTAACAAAAAGTTATCATCTGGCTTAAGAGAAAAGAAAAATAATAATAACTGCATCTGCTTCTCTATAATTTAGCTAAATCTACGGGTTTGGTGCAATGGGTTTCTAGTTCAGCTCCTGATTCAACTTAAATGGACAAAGAAAGCATTTTTTTTTCTTTGCCATTTATTAACCAAAAATCTCTCCTTTTTAATACTAATGAAGTTTTTAGCTTTGCATACACTACTAACTTCAAAAACATTTTGGGGATATGTTAAATTAAGGTAGCAAAAAGCAAGATTCAAGAATGAGAAAATGCTAAGTAATAAGAATTTAAGCCCCCAGAAAACAAATACTCCCACAGTCCCGCAGGATCCACCCCAACTGCCAAACAAACACAGACCCATAAACATTTCTTCGAAACTAAACGCTGACAAACAAAGGAATAAAGAATGGTAAACCTGTTTGTTTCAATAATTTGCTCTCGCCGTCGTCGTAAAGTGGTTCTTGAGAAGCTCGACAAGCTCTTGAGCTCAAATCTGCGGCAGCTCGACTTTTTGGAGGATAATGGTAATTATTTGAGAAGCTCCTGAGCTGGGCTTCGCTGAACAGCCGCGTGCGAAGAGAATCTACGGTCATGTTTACGAATATTTGGAAGATTTTGGGCGGATAATTTCTCGCGGACGGCGCACACGCTTGTTATTTCGTTTTATCCTTTGCCTGTTGAAATGTGGCCTTGGGAGTTAGAAATTTTAAGAGCATTCCACTTTCAACATTAATTAAATTTGAACACATGTCAAATGATGAATAGAATGTAAATTTATGTAATATGAACTAGTACGACACCCGTGTACTACACGGGTTGTTTAAAAAAAATATAAAACATAAAATAATATAAAAAACACATATGTTGTTGTATAACTATTTCAATACTTTAAAATATATTAGAAAGATCATATAATATTCTATAATTATTTCAATGTATTTTTATAGATATTCTAAAAAGATTTAAATAATTTATTTATGGTTGAATGGAAAAGATATAATATGTAAGTGGCTATATATTTTTTTTGTAAAATTATAGAATTTTTTTAATTTAAACTATATAATAAAATTATTGTTTACATTAATTATATAAATAAAATAATATATAAAGCTAATTTTTTTTTATTTTGGTTTACACGACAAGATAAGAATCCTAAGATGTAATGTTTTTAATTTTTATACGATATGAATTTGAAGTTGGAGGATTTACACGAATCCTATTTATTTGGGAAACCTTATAAGATAAAGAATCCTATTTAATTTAGGGAATGTACCGAACCAAAAGCCGAAGCATATAATGTTGCCAAGTAAGCTTCCGAAGCGTGCGAAGCAGCCATTTAGGCTCAGCACGTTTTCAAATTATATTAAGAGGGGATGTCAAAAGAGAAGACTTTAACTTGAATGCACATCTCTAATGCATCCCTTTCAAAAGCTTAAAATAGGTTAGATTTTTGATGAGTTGGCTTTTAAACACTCTTTGAAAAACTAGAAAGTGGGCTTCACACTTTGGATGTTTATTGTCTCCATGTCAACATAAAAGAGTCCATAACATTATGGATTGGAGATTAATTTTTGTTTTCACTTTATAACTTGATGATGTGGCTAACATTTTATTAAGTCAACATCTCACATTGGAGATGCTCTAACAAAATATCTTCAAAACTATTCAATTGGTCTTGTGCTAGCATAACTATTAAATCGCTACATATATTTTATTTTTTTTACAAATATACATATTTATATTTATAATCTATCATTATATAAAAAGAATAACCATTTTTTAAAAATGGTAAGTCAAATTCTTAGTCAACATATTTTGCATTAATTACTTGCCATTAATGGTAATAAATTATTTTTTTAAAGCTTCCCTGTGCAATTAATGTTTTTCAAGATTTTTGGGATATTGTTATTTTGTAATTGACCAATGCACTGATTTTGCGTTAGAAAATCTTATCCCATTAAAAAATCTTATCCTATTAAATCTCCTTAATATAACACTTATTTTATATTAAAAAATAATAATACCACGAATTTTGATTTTCAATCCTTCACAAATTAAAGAATCTTATAAATTAAATGTCAGCACTTAAAAAAATCGGCCTCTCCAAAACTCTATCCGAATTTTATTTAAAATCGCGAATATCTTGCTCAATCAATTCTCCAAAATATAAGTTCGAGTTATTGTCTAATAAATTTTTTTAGGGTATCTACTATATAAAAAAGCAATTCTCCAAAATATAAGTCCTCTAATAAAATTATTAGCGCATGTTGTATTGTCTAATTATTTTTTTATGGTATTTGTAATTACTAATATTTTTGCTTAAAATTATTAATGTTTGTTAGACCAACGGTTTTTTAGACTATAATATATAACAGTGGATATAACTCTAAATATATTTTTATATATAATATTATATAATTTAAACATGTTGTTTGAGTAATTTTTTTACATATTCGTTAAAGTGTATATATATAGAGAGAGAAATGTTAACTTTAAGTGATTTTAGATACTTTTTTTATAAAATAGTTTAGAAAAAAAAATGATAATTTCATATTTTTCAAGAATAATATATAATATTTTAGATACTTTTACACACTTTATATAATAGTTTAGGTATTCTTAATGTTTTAAAAATATTTAGACAAATTTTTACATATTCTCTAGATTAAGAAATTGTTTTCCTTACAAAATAGTTTAAAAAAATTTTAGGTGACTTCACACATATTTCAAAAATAATGTAAAATATTTTGAATACTTTTTAGATATGTGATATAAGATTTTGTATTACATAAAAAGAGAATAAGAGTTATAAAGCATGGTAATTTTAGATATAAAATTTTATTTTATTTGTTATAACTTACATGGAAGTTATGTTTTAATTATCGATATCATCTCAATGCTTTGCTTTGCTTTTTTCGCGAGACAATATCTGTTATTAGACTCATAAGATTTTATATAATTTTGAACATATTTTTTAGACAATTTTGTACACATTATACATGTCCACATACACATATACATATACATATGTTAAATATAAATAATTTTAGGCATGTTTTTTTTTACAAAATAGTTTAAAAAATTTTTAGATGAGTCCACATCTTTCAATAATGATATTTAAAATTTTAGATACTTTTACATATGTTATATAATATTTTAGACGTTTTTAATACTTTAAACAATCATTTTTTTCAAATTCTTTTATACAAGATAATTATATATTGTTTACAACTCATATACGATAAATTATATTACATATGAAGTTCACATCTTTAATTTATAATTATAGTTAATATTATTTAACTTCATCTTTAATATATAATCATTAACTAATATTGTTTACCCGTGCATCGCACGGGATACGCACTAGTTTTATATTATAAAACGTTTACATTAAAATATAACATAAATAGAACCATATGGCATATCACTTTATAGTCTAAGTATAATTTTTTGTTTAAATAGTGATGGATCGACCTGTCTAACCATGAGTCTGCCTCATACAAGAAGTTGTGAAAATGTCTAGTTAGAAAAGAACTAAAGAGACGATTCAAGCCCGAACTTATGATACTTGAGTTTTGGCCCAAGTTTTTATCAGACGAGCTCAGTTATTAACGAATTGTAATGAGTCGTATTATATAAAAAATAAAAAAAATGTAAAATCTATATTTTTCAAGCCCTTCAACCTTAAACGAACTCGAGTACGACCTTAACGAACCAAATTTACGGCTCATATAGTTTAAGAGCTATATTTACATAAAGCAAACTCATTTAAGCTTATTTTGGCTAGCAATGTATTTTGCTAAATAATTTAGACTAAAATTAGAAAAATATTTAACTATATTTGAAAAATACTAATTCAGTGTTTTTATTGTAAACTTGTTAATACATGGAGTTGCATAAAATACAAGAATTTATATTTTATAATTAAAATATTATTAATGTTACACTTATTAAACAAATCTTTGTGATTCCAACCATTATAATTGTTAACAAGTTAAAAAATAGGAACGATTGCCATGTATCTTTATAAAAGCAATCAACGATAAAGCGTAACATACATAATATTTTATGCAAATATTTAAATTTGTGGGCATATTACAAACATTAGATAATATATAATGTTTGTCATTTAAACAATAGAAATCGGGAGATGTCATTTAAACAATAGAAATCGGGAGATTTAATTGTTTAAGATGAATCTTCAAACAAAGAGGGGTAAAAAAAACAAAAATCACATCATTGTCAACTCTAAGCCTTAACAACTAAATACTAGAGTTTATATGAAAACCAAATTCCAATTAACTTACTAGAGTTTATATGAATCAATACTTTGCATCATCTTTCAGCCAAGAGCAACTCCTGAGTAAATGTAACAAGATTCAAAAGGCTTCAACAAGTTCACCTTTCTAACTTTCTAGGCATATGCACATATTTGATAATTCCATGCAGCATTTTTATAAAGCTGGTAAGCCGATCAAAGTCTAAAGGGACTCTGCAAACTGAGGGGCCTCAAGATCAAGCTCTTGCTTCATGATACAGTTCATAAGCCACTCGCTACTGAACGTCCAAATCCCCATCTTTGCTGCTGTTAGAGCTTCCTTCATATCTTCTTCGCATGCCACAAATATGGTTTCGGATACATCTTTTATTTCACTCTTGGCTCGAATGACCTAAGTTTTTTTCCAACATAGAGAATTTTATTTTGTACCAGTTGAGGTTATACACAGTAAAAAAAATTACAAGGAATATCCAGACAGTTTAATTAAATTACCAAAAGGAAAACCAACAAAAACCTCGATATGCAAATGCAAACCTTTGGGGAGGTAAAAGAAATCAAGTTATACATTTTTCAATTTGGTGCAGTAATTGATATATTAATCTATCATCCTCTGGTTTAGTTAAATGGCAAATATGGACATATCAAGCTAATTTTTGAATGTGAAAACATAACTAAACAATAACAGAACTTATTTAGATCAACTTACATTTCCTCCTGCAGACCTAACAATGACTGTGAGCATACTGGGTGGGGGTTGGACAAGAGGTGACAGCAATATATCAAGACCTTTAAACAATGCACTTGGTCTAGCTTTAGCTCTGAGAACTGCACTTTTCAGTTTGCATCTGTACTTAGTCCTGTAATCTTCATCTTCCAAAATGAAAGGCGTTTCATCTGCAAATAAATCCATTTTACGGTTGGGATTTGGCTGAAAGCAGAAAGCATGCAAGTTTAAGTTGCTGAAAGTGTACCAACAAATCTGCCCTTCCTGAAGCTTTCTTTCAACCATCCAGATGAGACAACCCAGGCTCTGCAAAGACATAACAAATTAAACTGCCACAGTTTTATATCATATTCAATCTTCCAATGGTTAATCAGAATCAAAAACTGACCCTGAACAGAGAGCGGTACAGAAATTCATTGTCTTTCGAACTTTTCCTGTGACAACATGTGTGCTAGCACTTCCATCCAGAGCAACAACTCCACCCAGATCTTCAATTATCTATTTTGTCAAAATCATCATTAAAACCAGCAAAAAAGTTATCAAATGCAAGGTGTAGAGAAAATGTCAACCTAGCATCTAAAGAAGGCAGTCAAAATTGTACAATGATATATATTGGTAGTAACAAATCATTTCCACATGTATCCCAAATCTAGTCACAATGTAATACCTTGGAGAGACGTGCCTTTTTCTCATCATCAGCAATGTTCATTAACATAATTCTATTAGATTTTGCTGGAGAGGGGATTTCAGGGGGCATATACACGTCTTCATTTCTGATATCAGCCATTTTGCATTTTTCACCTTTTTCGTGAGGTCTATGATTCGCAGAGTTTGTTCCCAAGCAGTTTTGATCATGGCAGTTAGCGATTTTTTCATCACTAGTCCATACACGACAGTGAGAACCCAACTGGCTATCAGTACGGGTTCCCTTGACTTTTTTAGACTTCAATGACGTGCATGAGGCTTCCCATGTCCTTTTCTTAGTATCCAGCGCTGACCAAGAGCAATTGTCCTCATGATCTTCAATTCCAACATCATGTTTTCCTGAGGCATCAGCCACACTGCAACTTACTGCAAGTGGCAGAAGTCCTACATCTTAGCTAGCTACAAGAAAGAATAACGTGCAACTTGAAAGTGCTAATTAGTTTCGGAGTACTTGGTGTTTATAAGCTTTTGCAACTTGTCTAAGTGATATCAATAGAAATTCATGGTAAATCGATGTTATTATTACTCGCCAACACCTAGAACACATAAGCAAAAAAATGTAGCTACCCCAAGCATTGACATACTTACCATCATCAAGTGCACATATTCCAGTCACTAACTTTTCTGACTTAGTACACCAAACTTCAGCTAGCTGGTCATCTTCTTCCATAAGTTCATTTCCCTTTGCATTATTCCATGGCTCTTGGTTTAGAGAATTCAACTGAAGGGACTCTGTGGGTAAGCCTAGATTTAGAAGCTCCACTGGTTCGGACAAGCTATCTTTGAGAAGATGTGATGCCATAAGGGTTGACCCACCAGGAAAACATAATGCTTTCCGGACGTCAGCCTTGATTCGGAGTTTGTGACCTCTGCCCTTTTTGTCCACCTCACCAATCACTTCAAATCCCTGTTCAAATGGATATGTTGTAGATTTTAATTGTTTCTACAGATGAAGATATTCATCATGAGGTCTGACAAATTTGTATTTACAAATGAATTCATCAAAAAGATTAGTTGATATAAGTTTGAATGAAGAAGCACCCAATGTGGTTAACTAATTAGTTTGATAAATACCTGCTTGAGCCAAAATCCCTCAGATTCTTTGTCTCCCCAACAGAATATAGTTTGAATTCCAACATTCTGGAGCCTTTTTCTCAATTCCATGTACAACAAGCGACCAATTCCCTATAGTTCATCCAGTATGAGGGAATTTTATAGCAAATACCAACTGTACGAGAGTAATACAATTTTGCATGTAATCCAGCAATAGGAGAACCATTTTAGGGAAAACAGGATTGCAGTAAGTATTAACAATACTTGAAACACACAAACCCTTGCAACATGACCCCAAACATCTTCTTATAATTTATTTAAAAATATTCACATTTTCATTGCTGACAATGCTAAACACTGGAGCCTGAATGTGCAGGTGCAGAATGCAACAAACCTTCCGTTGAAAGATTGAGCTAACAGCAGCAAGAGGAACCTCAGCATACTGTGAATCAACTGGAACTATTTGATAAGTAATTGCTGCAATGACCTATCAGGAAGGGAGGGAGAGGAGAAAGGCAGAAGCAGAGAAAGCAGCAACCTAAATTCAGTATTACTACTTATAGTAATGTATTCGTTGAATACATAAATTAATGTTTTCTTTGAATCCAGAAAAAAGCATAAGATGAGTACAATGACAATTGATAGTTACAATGACTTATAACCAAAGTAATAATACCTCGCTCGCTTGATTATCATCCTTGGATTTCAGAACTAAGGTGCAATATTTCCTAAAATTAAAATGACAAGATATTTACTAACATTCTTTATACAGATACAGAGAAATAAACAATTCAACAGTAGCAGCTTCTGAGACAGGGAAATAAAAATAACTATAGTAGGCAAGCTTAGCCATATTACAAGATCAAATTAAATGCAAGTGTACTTACCCATTTGTAACACATCTTTCTAGGAACATCGACTCCTTTCCAGTATTAGAAGCATAGTTCATTGCGGGTAGCTCTTTCATGTAAAGAACTAGAACTTCCTGCAACATCAATATAGTAGTGTTAGTCCATTCCCACTCAATATGACATACCACCAATCATGTGAGCCATAATGGCACTATAAGCACACACATGCATCCGCACGCACAACGTAAACATACGACATAAACTGATGCAGCATGCCTTTCCAAAATCTTGCGGCAGCTGCAGTTTAGCATGTGCATGTTTGAAGTTTGCAGCAATAAAATACTATTTACTTTCCAATTTGGTAAAATTCTTAATCAAGTAAACAAAAATTAGCCATAATACAACTAAGAACCAAAATGAGACACTCACACTGCTTAAGAAAAAAAACAAAATCCAGATCATTATTACCCAGAGATGAAAACCATAAGAACAGCCTCACATGCACAAGCACATACGAACAATAAACGAAACATGGTCTTTAGCATTCACTTATCATAGACCACAACCCACAATTCACAAAATCAACAAGAAGCACCCAAGAAACACAATCACCAGTATTTAAATGGTGAAGTCGAAGGTTAAACCACCATAGATTACTCAAATACCTGGAGAAGGGACTTGGTTTCACCATCTGAATTTTTTGGATTAGCAAGCACAAAACAACCATTACCTGCCAGCAACAAAAGGAAACTCGATGTGTCACGACTCGCGATCACCACACAAGATTTAACGATAGCATAGTCCCCGAGAGAGAAAGAGAGGATCTAAACAAATAGGTATCATTACCAAGTTTCTTAGTGCTTCGACCTGCAAAATCGTCATGTTCATTCACTTTCTCCACCACTGCAACAAAAACATCGGCACAAAACACAAAATCAAGACCGATCAAAGCTCAATCAAAACCATTCTCTTACAGTAAAACCAACTAACCAAATCGTCTACCTGAGATTCTGACTTTCTCAGATCTCGACATAGATATCAGAAGGCTGTCCCCACTCAATTCGGATGTGAAATTCTTTGCCTCCACAACGACCTCACAATTCCCTGTGAAATCAACATCGAAAAAACATCAAATTCAAAAAGAAAGATGAAAAATATATTTGAAATTAGCTCGGAAAAATCGTTTACCAACGGAGATGGGAGCTGATGAGGGGAGAGGATGCGAACTTCTTCCTCGTCGGGCCATTGTAAGGTGCTAAATCACAACAGTAACTTTGAGTGGCGCTTATGTATATATGTCGACCGCTAATTTTGGCAGCAAAAAATAGCGAAAAGGATTGAAAAAGTGTTAGGCGGGAAAAGGAACAGGCGGGCTATTTTATTACACCTGAAAAGAATTTTGGTCGCCTAAAATAGAAAACGGAAATGGGCCTCACTCAAAACTTGCCATGTAAGATAGAATGAGGATTGCAATTTGGCGCTGACCTACTCGGTCTCGGCTCGTAGTCTTATGACAGGTCTTCCATTTGTTTTCTCAAACGGGTCGTGTTAGGTTCGCTGAGTTGGATCGTTGAGGGGTGATTGGATACAAATAAAAGAGTGGATTTGGTTTTTAGCCATAAAAGTTTTTGAAAAATGAGAAATGGCCATTTTTTTAAAAAAATATGAATAATAGTCATTTGTCATAGTTAGATTTCATTTTTTTGTGAATGGCTATTTAGCCTTATTAACTCTAAATAAAATTAATTTTGATTGAATTTATTAGTTAAACTGAGTTATTTTAAAAAAAATATATATAAGTAGATTATGATTTATGAGTTTGAATTTAATTAATTTTAAAAATATGACGTTTTGAGAGGTGTTATTGAAAATTATAGATAGTTAAATATGTGAACTAATGAATATTGAATTAAAGTTGATATATATGATGATAATTAATTGATATTATTTAATTATTTTGACATATTAAAGATAGTTGAGTTGAATTTTGAATTAAAATGAAAAAGAAAAAAATATTGGCCAATCAAAACTATATATATAATTGGTAACCAATCACGTCATTATAATATTATATATAATGAATAACGTTGATATATTTTAACAATATTGCTTAAGTAATATATAGGATAACATAAACTATGACAATATAAAGTCAAGATCTTATTACTTTACACATCTTATCACATTTAAAATCAATGTAACCTCAACATCCAACTCGTTATTGTATTAAGATAATTTTATCTAAAAGCTGTTGATAAACATAAATAGTTACTACGTTAAACATTATCTAGGTCGGTAAAATCATGCATCACTTTCCGATATCCGGTGATCAGTGATTAGCGGCACAGTTCTTGAAGCGCAAAGTACAAGCAAAAATAATTAGAATGTTGTTGTGTCAATTGCTTTCCGACGTGAAAAAGATGGTTATAATGCCTGGCAAGGAACGGCAAAAGGGAACATGAAGAAATTATTAGAATGAAAGTTGTACCTAATACCCCAAAGACACAACGGACCTAACCAAAACACTCTTATAATTACAAAAGTGAGCCGTAAAAGCAAGTCCTCCTCACCTCGTTAAACACAAGAAAAGAGATGTTTCGTGTTTATTAACCAGGTATATTAAAGCAATAAACTGAGAATTATTTTCTTCAGAATCAAAGATACCAGCACTCACATTGACAATCGACAGGAATCCCAGAGAAGGTCCTAAAAGGACGAAAATTTTTCACCTTCCAAAAAAGAATGAACAAGGAAAACACATACGGATTCAATTAAAATTGACCTTTTTTTTTTTCATTTTCTGTAAACGAGTTCTACAATAAACTCTTTTGCATTTACTCGACATTTATTTTTTGTTTTTTTTTTCATGTTAAAAACTGAACAACCAACGTCAGACTATGAACAAGGCTAAAAATACAAAGAGCTACCTTGCTCTATACAGAAAGTTGCAAGTAACATAAAAATGACACTGAGCTCCAGCTGAGACAAACTGCAAATTATCGAGCCTAGGCCATTAAAAACGCTACACATATTCAACGGGGCTGCTGAATAAAACGAGGGCTTGGTTTTGGGCTCACATGCTTGGCCGGTTTCTCAAAGTGCCTAATCGGTTCCCTTGGAGACTTGAGGCCTCTCTGCATTTGCATGTTTAGACTCTTGATTATTGCATCAGGGTTCTTCCCAAAACCTAAAAATATAAAAAGAACAAAGATGAGATCATCAATCAAGTTAAAGCCCGATAACATGAATATGCATACTCGGATTATTGAAATGACTTAACAATCATGGCTCGATCTTTTTTGCATTTGACTGAATCACACAAATTATCAATACATACCCCTTCATACATTCCAAATTTCCTCTAAAATTAATGCTATGTCTAAATTTATTACTTCACATTGCTGGTTACACATTATAAATCCAATCCTTAATGCTTTGCAGTTTCTTGACACGCAAATCGCACTTTTGCTTGATACACAAATAATAATCATTAATTTCCACGAAAAGACCTTATCAAAAATTTTGCGTACCAAATCCCGCAGCTCCTCCAAACGCCTTCCCACCATATCCAGCCTCGTTCGACTGAAGGAACTCCTCAAACTGAGCTTCCATATTAAGAATATCCTCATCAACATCGAGATCAATGTTATCAGGCAACAAACCGACAACGTTGTTACCATCAACATCAACCTCAATCTCACCAAAAATATCTTCTCCTTGGTGCTGACTGACCCAATAGTCCCGGAACCAAGTGGACGTGGTCACGAGGTCCCACCACTCGGGCGAGAAATCCTCGACTTGTCTCATGGCAGCAGGAATGAACAGAGGAGCGTTCGGATTAAGCGACGATCTTACACTGGATACAAGAGACATGATTGGCTTGTTGTTCGAATCGAAATCACCTGTTAGGGAAAAAAAATAATTCAGTCTCTAAACAACAATTAAGCTATCATACACTATAAGCTAAATTTAGCTATCAATTTAGAATACAATTATCATCAACTATAAGCTCACTCACGCAGATCCAAACTCGAAATATAGAATGAAATTCAAATATTAACGGGATTTTGAAAAGAAACTCTATCTTTTCGACAAAATAATAATAATATACAGAAAAGTTATTTCGTATGAATCATTACAACCAGATCATGAGCCATAACCCACCAAAGATCAGGAGAAGCTAAGCTAGTTTCATTCATTTGGATCCACAATTTTCACACCAAACAAATCTTCATCAAAGTTCACTAAAAAAAAAATCTCTGACAGAAGATAAAACCCCTCAAATTTATTTTCATGAGCCATGACCCACAAAAGATCAGAAAAGGCTTAGCTAGTTTCAGTTCATTTGGATCCACAGTTTTCACACCAAATAAACCTTCATCAAATTACATATATAAAAAAAAAAATCCGTTAGAAGAATGAACTTCAGATCTATACACTTCAGAAGCATAAATCACACCAATCGAGTACAGCTTGAAGAAAAAATAATTGAAAATTCAATTGATAACTATGGTACAATTTAGTCAACGCACAGTACCTCGCAGGTTAAAACTCGTTCTTCAACCCAAAATTGCAGAGTTTTACACGTAAAGTGCATTGACTCGTTATTAGGGACAGAGGCAGATACTTATAGGCACGGACTCGCGAGAACCAACAGGTTCGAAAACCGAGCCTCAGGTTCGGTCACTCCAAGCCAACCCACTGATTGTCAACACTGACGCGTGCGTGCCTGGTTGAATAGCCGGCCCGAACGTCTCACAAACTTGTACACAGTGCATACACAGTTGTACATCAACAATAAGTTAGGTCGAGTGACAGGCGATAGCCGGTCATCCACCGGCACTATATGGATAAGTTCGGACGAGTCCATGTTTCGGGAAATACAGTCCGTGTGGGTCCCGCCAATCATGCGTGTTTGAAAATCAAATTGTTTGTCATATTTTGACGGGTTGATCGGACGGCTGAGGTGGACGTTGAGAGGATCGTGTGGTGGCAAGGTGGGAACTTGGTAATGATGATGACGTGTGGTGGTGGGTCCGGTTAATTAGGAAAAATGTACAAAAAACCGCGTCGGGCACATGGAAACATCATCTATATATATATATAAAAAAAATTACTATTTATCAAAAACTAGTGCGTGGCCCGTGCAATACACAGAAAAACAATATTTTGATTGTATTATAAATTAAATAAATAAATAATATTAATTATGTTTTACCCATTATTTTTAAATTAAATCGGGTTGGACACAGTACGACCGGATGGACCGAGAACCGGTTTATAACCAGTCTATTGCGCTTGAATAAAATATTTGCTATCGAATTCATCAACATCAGTATGTTGGACTGGTAGGATCGATACGATTTTCTAAACAAATTTTGTTGCATTAAAAATTATTTTAAATAAAATTACATATTTAAATAAAATAGAGATTTATAGATTGTTTATCAATTAGTTTAAAAATTTGAATTTATAAATTGTTTAGATATTTAAGTAACACATTTTATTTAAATTTATTACAAAAAGTATTATATATATATATATTAAAGTATTATGTATTAAAATCTGAACAACCACAAATAATTTAATAAAATAACTTGATCGTTTCGATGACGTTCTGGTTCTGAAAACCTTATATTTACCGTACATTAATAAAAATGATAATAAAATAATTATTTTGTTCACATAAATAATAATAAAATGATATATAAATATTCATAAATCATTAATCATGTTGTCGTAAAAGTATTGTTAATATGATTATTTGAAGTTTGGACTACATAATAAAGTATTTTCAATATTAAAATTTATATTTATGTTCAATAATCGATTTGATCTGGTCAAACTGATACATAACTTAGTTACCTGGGACCAACCAAGTTATGTCAAGTTTTTTGACTATTTTAAATATCACCTAAAAGTAATTCACAACGTGGGCAGTACCCTAATTCAATCACCCGATTGATCCAAAGTAATTTCATTATTTTCTTTAAATATAATATTTAATTTTATGAAATAAAAAAAATTTATGATTCATATGTCTACACCAAATGATAGTATATTAAGATTATAAATTATATATCTAAAGATGAATTATTTATTTTTATTTTATGCATATTAATAAAAAATAAACATAGTAATTTAAAAAAAAAATCAAGATTAATTGATTGGGTATATATATATATATATATATATATATATATAACATGATTGAATTTCTGGATTAGAATATATATATTTAAAATGATTTTATTATTAAAAGTCAAAAAGAAAAGATGTCATAAAGATTACAACTTTGAAAAATTTGTAACCATTAATTTAGGAACCATCCGATTTTAAATGATTTATAATTTTTGAAACAGGATACGTCGTCTAAAACCCATTAACTTAGGAACCATTCAATTTTTTGATAATGAATTAAAATTAAAATGTAAAATAAAAAAATTGCTAAAAATAGTAGATAATAAATGTGACTTTTTCTTACTATTATTTATGGTAAATGTTAATTCTTATTATATATATATAGATAGCAGCAAAAAAGTCAATGAGCATTTAATGCATACTTTATTTGGAAATTTTTTAAATATATACATTAATTGCTTTAATATACACATTTCTAAATTAAATATGACCAAAAAAAATTATTTCCTTGAATAATTTTATTAACATATGCAATAATTTTATTGATATCCATTATAATAAACTATAATTTAATTTTTCGTGATTGATGTTGATAATATTTTGGTCAACATAAACATGAAAACAACTTTTAAGTCTTAACCATATTATTATTTTTTTTTCACAAATGTTGACTTTCATCCTAAAATATTTATAAACAATGGTAACATGTTAAATAATTCTCCCTCTAACTAATTAGCCGAAATCAAGTTGATGAATATAATATTTTTCGATAATATTTTTTAACCTTTATTTAATTATATAAACAAATAATTTTTTAATTAAAATAATTTACCATTTAAGAGATAATAATCACATCATTAAATAATTTATTAATGGTTAAATAATAAAATTAAAATATATTAACTATTCTTTACATTTTCAACATTTGATTTATTTGTATATTATTGTCGACCATGATAATTTTATCATTTTTTTTATTTTTATTTGTTTCCACAATGAATTTATTGTAAAATATATATTTATATTGCATAGTATGTTAAATAAACTAATAAAGCCTTAGGATGCAAATTAGAAAAGTCTCTTGATTATGTAAGGTTTATTTTTTGACAATTTGCTAAATCAAATTTTTTTTAATTATTATGAGAAAATTAAATTCTAAAAAACATGTGTGTGTATTTTGTAAACATGTATAGAAATTTTTTTATTTTAAACTCATTACATAAACTAAGAAGAAGAAGACTACTTCTATAACCTTTATAAATAATAATAATGACATTATATGACAACAAATATTATAATAAAATAATAATTGACTATTAAATAAATGGTGAACAAGAATAAACATAAATTTTATTTTTTTTTCTTATATCGATGGATAAATATATGTTGCAGAATCAAATTTATATCAATATAACGTGTTAGCAGAATGATATATTAATAACATGTCAACGTTATGACTAAAATAAATATCACTGATTGAATAGATTGAAAAATTAATGATCCAACCCTATTATTTTTTGCCAAAATCGTACAAGCCATATAGATGACTTAACTAATATATGTGCCCCGTGCATCGCACGAGCTATGCACTAGCTAATTAAAAGCCATTTGTATCTCTTAGTGCTGCTTAGGATGAGATTTGGTGGCAATTAATGTGCAATTATATTATATACAAATTTTATGTGTGAAAAGCCATTTGCTTTTTGTGAATGAATTGTGTGCAATTATATTATATACAAATTTTAAATTAGATGATAACTGCTTTTAATGAAAATTGACATCCTAAATCGATTGTTACTTTTAATTAATTTCATTTTTTTTTATTACTTGCTTTGTTGATTGCTACTAAAAGAATGGGAGAATTTGGGATTTGAAATAATTGCTCGTTTTGAGTGAGTGCATTATGGCGAATTTTGTCAGCAAAAGCTATATATATTTGTACAGCACTCATGGCGATGAAATCAGAATTCATGAAGACGACAGAGTACTTAATTTATTGAACCTAGTATACTTTATTTTAGATACTAGTATGCTTAATGCCTTAATATAAATTTTTTATTACATCTAAAATCCAAAATCAGTATTTAATTTTAACCTGTTATTATTATTATTTTTATTTTTATTATTATTGTTATTACTTTTTAAGAAAACTCGAATTAGCTATGATTGCTTCTTGTTTTACAGGACTCCTGTTTTCCAGCTGTCCAAGATTTATTAGTTAGTTATGTGATGTAGGGAAGCGTACGAGTGAAAAAAATAAACGAGACTCTCTCGATAAAACTCACAATCAATTCATATTTCATTCATAATCAACTATCTCATAACAAAGTAGAAGAGCCCTTTAAATAAGGCTCCTAACTCTAGTCCAATAAGACAAGATCTCTTACTAAATATTAAACAATAATATTAAATTTCTAACTTATTCTCTAAGACACCTATTAAATAATAATAATAATAATACTAATAATAATAATATATACTAATCTACACCAAAGTGGCCCAACCCGTCCACACAATCTCTTTAAATATCAAATGAAGAGCCCAAGCAAAGTTTGACGAATATTGTTTTGAGCTGGGATCCAAATATAGTTTCTGTAGAAAAAAATCTGATCCAAATTAAAATTCCTCGATCACTACTTTTGGTCAATCAAAAAGTTTCGAGCATAAAGAATAAAATTTGTGCTGATATGGTATTATTATTTTTTCCTCAAAATTACAAAATATATGTCCATTATAATTTTTATGTAATTACCATAAAAAAAACTTTATAAACATTCTTAAAGGTAACTTTATATACTATTACCAAATAACAAACAACTTATTTTACTAAGAAACTATTACTAGCCAAAACAGTAGATACAATCAACTTTTCCCTAAACCGATCAACTTTTCCCTAAACCGACGTAAGCAACGACAACTGTGACATCATCATACTTTCCGCCGCGATGATCATGGAACCCGGCCACAAAAGCGTCCAGTTCGAACGGGGTGAAAAATTTGGAGTCGAGCGATTGCCGCCTCGCCACCTCAGCAAGCCGGCGGGCCGCAGCCTCTGGGCCTTGACCGTTTCCAAGGCACCCCGCTACCACTGCCACTATATCGCCTGCGAAGACATTGTTGAAGAGCCCGGCAGTCCCCATGACCACCACGTCACCGGCCTCGAGTCCGACCGACCGCTCGTAGGCCAGCTGGGGCCCGCTGGTCCCTTCCCCCATTTGGTACGGCACGTTGAACTCGTGCACTTGGAAAGCCGACATGCAGCGGATGTCGCCGCCACGGAGCAACATGAAGCCGCTGTTCCCGACGTTCGCTGCCCGGAGGATACTTTTCCGCTGGTCGAAGGCCGCCACGCAAGCCGTGGAGGAGCCTCTCGACTTCGTCTTCGAGTTGGCTTTTAGGAGGACGTTTTTCGGGCAGATCGGGCCGCGGCCCACGGCGCGGGCCGCGTGGGCCATGAGCTCGCGGGCGTATTTGCCGGCGTCGACCCCGTGGGCCGACCAGTTGCCGAAGCCGTCCGCCACGCCGATGACGGGAGGGTCGGCGGAGATGAAGTGGGAGTCTTCGCCGAGGGGCTTGGAGGGGCTTTCCTTGGGGATGTAGTGAGAGGCGGCGCGCCACGTCAGCTTCGACTCGGCGGCGGTTGGTGGCGGGAGATTTAGGGCTTTTTGGATTTTGCGGAGGAGACGGATCAGCTTCATCTTCACCGTCGGGGCCATCTTTNTTTATTTTGTTTGTGGTAATTGTGTTTGTTGTACGGTGGGGTCTGATTAATTTAGTCAGGATGTATTTATTGTTGTTCTTTTCCTATAGCTATACCTTTAAGGGCTAGGACTTAGGATTTCGTGCGTATTATTAAAATAATAATTTATATGTTGGGCGGTTAATTAAGGGGATGATGACTAGTTTAGTTAATTGAAGCTTAGCCCCTTAAAAGTTTAATTCATATACTAGTACTTCATCGCATGTATAAAGTTGCTCATATTTTGACAAACTGTATGTAAAAAAAATAATATTTAAAACCAAAATAATAAAAAAAAAAGTTGTGCAATATGCATTACATTACACATATTTTGATCAATGCATTAATCAAAAAATAAATATCTTCTTATCATAATTAGTTATTTACATGAGGAAATACTAATAAAAAGAAGAATAACAACCTTTATAACTATAGGTTACTTCACAATCATATGTTATGATTGACGAAACTGTTACACGAAAAATAGTCAACCCCTGCACTTGGCCCTTTCCATAGGAAAATCATCGAAAAATAATCCATAAAAAAAATCATCAGGGCTATTAAAAGCAATCAAATCATCGAAAAAACGAAAAAGAAAATCTTCAAAGCTAAAAGCACTACAAACACAAAAACGGCGCTCGTCTAATTCTCTTTGTCGTGTTCTTAAATTTTCATGAAACAATTTATTTGTCGTAGTCTTGTTGGTGTCTGTACAATCAACACTGCTGATGTGTACAGACTCTACACATTCAGTTATACATTGAATTTTGACAAAGACGATATTTGGGACTAGGGTGGAAAAAATAAAAATACATAGTCCATTCTTTGGCAAAGATTCAGAAGGCATGGTGCGATCGACACCACTGTGGACACCACAACCACAAAATGTACTAGGTGATGAGACGAGCTCGAGTGGTCCACGAAAATTTATAGACCTACGAGAGCTATATGAAGCTACAGAGAAGGTAACAAATTTGAATGTAATTACTCAATTTTGTTTGTTCACGGACGTTGAACGCATAAGATTTGAACGCGGCTCTATATATTTAAAAAATTGAGGAATGCCATAAACAACAAAATAAAATCGATTAAGAAGAATGATACGTTGGAATTAGAGCCACTACCTGAAGGAAGAAGCACAATCAGTGTTAGGTGGGTGTTCAAAATTAAAAAAAATGCAAAAGCCGAGATTGAAAAGTCAAGATATGAATGTGAAAATATATCTTAGTTATTAGGGGAGCTTAAAGGTATTTTTATGCCTATATATACCCTATCATTGTGTTGAATCAATACACATTGTGGACTGTATAATCCAATGATAAGCCTTATATATACCCTTTCTTTTTTTTTACTGTTGAATCAATACACATTGTGGACTGTATAATCCAATGATAAGCCTTACGAATTCGAATAGTTAGAAGTGACCAAGCTTTTCCCAAAACCCTAACCGTGTCTCACTCAACGTAAGCGACGACGACAGTGACATCATCATATTTCCCCCCGAAACGCTTGACCCCAGCTGCATAAGCCGCCACCTCGAACGGGCTCAAGAGATTCCGGTCGAGCGATTTCTGCCTCGCCACCTCAGCTAGCATGCGGGCTGCAGCCTCCGGGCCTTCACCATTCCTTAGGCACGCCGCCACCACCGCCGCTATATCCTCTTTGAAGACATTGTCGAACAGCCCATCAGTCCCCATGACCACCACGTCACCGCCCTTGACTCCGACCGCCAACTCGTCGGCCCGCTGGGGCCCGCTGGTCCCTTCCCCCATTTGGTACGGCCAGTTGAACCCGTGCACTTGGACCGGCGATCTGTAGGCGATCTGGCCGCCACGGACCACCACAAACCCGCTGTCCCCGAGATTCGCCGCCCTGAGGATACTATTCCGGTGGTCGAGGGCCGCCACGCAGGCCGTGGAGGAGCCTCTCGATTTCGTCTTCGAGTGGGCTTCTAGGAGGACGTCTTTTGGGCCGACTATTGGGCCGGGGCCCACGGCGCGGGCCGCGTGGGCCATGAGCTCGCGGGCGTATTCGCCGGCGTCGACCCCGTGGGCCGACCAGCCGCCGACGCCGTCGGCCACGCCGATGACGGGAGGGTCGGCGGAGATGAAGTGGGAGTCTTCGCCGAGGGGCTTGGAGGGGTTTTCCTTGGGGATGTAGTGAGAAGCGGCGCGCAACGTCAGCTTTGACTCGGCGGCGGTTGGTGACGGGAGATTTTGGGCTTTTAGGGTTTTGCGGAGGAGACGGTCCAGATTCATCTTCATCGTTGGGGCCATCTTTGTTTTTTTCTTTTTCTTTTTCTTTTTTCTTTCGTTTAGTTTGTGGTAATTGTGTTTGTTGTACGGGGTCTGATGAATTTCGTCAGGATATATTTATTTTTGTTGTTTTGCTATACCTTTTAGGGGTAGAACTCCGACTTAATTAGGATTTCGTTTGGATTATATATTAAGATAATAATGTGATCATTATATTAATTAAAAATAAACATATTTTTTGTAAGAAGTTATCTATATATGTTGGAAGTATGTAAATATTAATAATAAGAAAAATAACAGCCGCTACAACTAGAGATTACTTCAGATAATTATATGTTGTGTCAAAACACTGAAAATAAGAATAACCACAGGTTACAATTATAGATTAATTACTCCATAAGTACTATAGTATATGTTAATGATGACTGAACTTACATGTTCGGTAAATATTGGCTAACTTAAATATATGTATGAATTGAATACCATTACTAGTTACATTTTGGTCAATAGATAATTAAGAGAAATCGCTTCCAAAAAAGCGTCATTGAGTGAAATTAACTGTTACAAAACTTCGTTGAATGAATAGCGATCAATAAGGGTACTCATACGTGTTGTGTTTGTGAGTCGATGATATTTTAAAAACTTATTTACATTTTTTTTTTCTGTGATTACAAACAGTACTAATCGTTGGGTGTACACGTCCACGCTATGCAAAATTCAAAAGAACAATAAATTATTTTTCTAAAAGCAATTAATTTTGTTTTGTAGATTTGTGGATGTTTATAGTTCACAAAACCAGCTAACACATGTTTAAAAACAAGATATATATTGCTATTGTTTAGAAGAAGAACAATGAAAATATCAATTAGAAGAAGAATAACAACTAGATTACTTCACCCCTTGACAGAAATTTCATCTTTGTCCAATACTGGCTAACTTTAAATATGTCTGAATACCATTACTATAGTTACATTTTGGTTAATATTGGTTAATTGGATGAACCAATCTATCATTTTGTTTGATGAAAAAAATACAAACATTACTTTCGTGATTCAGTTAAAATAGGTAGCTATATATTATGCAAAATAACCCTCCAAACCAAACGCAAGCAAAATAAAATCAAGTAACACACAAATTCACAAAAAACCATTTTCCACTCTCATTAATGACTATATATCAAAGTTCATTCATACACATAGGATTTAACCACTCAAATCTCAATGAGAATAATTACACGTACACAAATCAATCAAACCATAAATCAATAAACCCTAGCAATGACCACCGTGATGTCATCCACTTTCCCCCCTCTCCTCTCCTTCCCCGCCCTCCGAGCCTCCTCCGCAAACGGCGTCTCACCATTGTACCTATCGAACGAGTTGTACAACGCCATATTCGCCAAATAGCAACACTTCTCCGCCAGGTCAACATCATCATTCAGGCCCATCGGGCCCACCTGGCCCACAACCTCTGCAATCTCCCGCGCGTGCACGTTATCAAAAAGCCCATCTGTCCCCACCACCACCACGTCACCCCTCTCGACTCCCTTCACCTCAATCTCCTCCGCCACTTCTGGCCCGTCTTTTGTAATCCCCAGCTGGTACGGACAGTTGAAAGACCGCCGGCCAACCGGCGACCGGTACACTACCCGCCCGCCCCTCACCACCACGAAACCACTGTCCCCGATGTTCGCCGCCCGGAGAACGCCGTCCGGCGACAGATCCACCACGCACGCGGTGGAGGAGCCACTCACGGTGGTCCTCCGGTAAGCCTCCTCCAAGACAGTTTTTGGGCCGCCGCCGCCACCGCCAGATTGGACGGCGAGGAAAGAGTTGTGCATGAGCTGGCGGGCGTACTCGCCGGAGTCGACGCCGTGCCTCCGCCAACCGCCGACGCCGTCGGCCACGCCGACGGTCCCGCTCTCGGCGTGGATGAAGTGAGCGTCGTCACCCAGAGGATGGGTCGGGTCGTCTTTGGGTATGCAGATTGCGGCGGCCGACATCTTCAACGGAACACTAAAACACCAGATCGGAACCGGAAAATAGGGTTTCGGGTCCGCCGGAGAGAAAGCGAGCGTCGGGCACATCCGGTAACCACCGTGCTGCATCTTGATATTCGGGTTTTTTTTTTCCTTTCTTTTCGAGTAAAGATTTTTTTTTTTTTGTTGTGGTATGGAAAGTGGTACTAACGGGGAAAGTTTACTATTATATAGTATTATACGGCGTCTGATTAATTTAGTCAGGATATTTATTTTTGTTATTTTGCTATACCTTTTAGGGCTAGGACTTAAGGATTTCGTTTGTATTATTAAGATAATACCTTTTAGGGCTAGGAATTGGGATTTTCGTTTGTATTATTAAAATAATAATTTATATGTTGGGAGGTTAATTAAGGGATGACTAGTTTAGTTAATTTGAGCTTTAGCCTCGTAAAAGTCTAATTGATATACTAGCACTTCATCTGCATGTATAAAAATGCTCATATTTTTATAAATCGTATGTATAAAAACTAATATTTAGATTAGATGAAGTAATTGTGTAAAGTATTATACCAAAAAGAAAAAAAAATTGTGTGAAGTAAATCACCAAATATTTTTCATGCGGATTAAGATTAACCAACCTANTTTTCAAATATTTTATTTTATGTATTTTAAGCATTAATATAATATGAACACTTTGTATTTGTACTTGACGGATACATATAACTTTTTTCTTGTAGTATTTTTATACGTGAGTATATATCTCAAATTAGTTCTAACATTTAAATGAATTGTAATTTGTGAAAAATATAATTTATAATTCAAACAAACTGTATATTTGACATTTATTCTATACTTTATTCATCCAATCCAAGTGATTTTTCATTCTTAAATTTATTTTCATTAAAGATTATATTTTGTAATTAAAATAATTATTCGTCAAATAACTAATTCTTTTTATTAAAGAATTAATTCTAGATATAATTATTTATTGCAGAAAAATAAATAACTTGTACTTGTTTGGCAAATAAGATTACAAACAAATGAAATTATGAATATTTGTTCATTTTTTATTACTTGTAATTATACAATTTGTTTCCGTTCTGTTTCTTTAAATTGTTAAGAAAGTGTATTTAATTTATATATATGTAAGCTTTAAAAGTATGCAATTCTTGATAGTTCCATTTTATTTGTGTTTTGTAATAATTCTCTTACGATATTTATATTCAATACACAATCTCTAAAGTATTTTATGTTTACGTAATAAAATAGATAAAACCTTATTAAACTACAATATGTAAGAGGAACTGAACGTAGGAAATATGGTGACTTTTTTAATAAATATAATTAGAATTGATGTATTTGTGATGCTTTTTAAAAAGGTTAGTAGAGATAAAATTATACCAACACCTTTTTAATAATGTAATCAATCATGTCACTTTTTAAAGAGTGTCACCATGTTAACCAATATTGAGACATTTATTTAAGAGTGTAATTAAATCATGACGTTTTATACAAAAGTGTCGTTTTATAATAATTGTATTTTATTTTATTTTTCTAAAATATCACATTCAAATAAAAATATACATAAATTATTTTAATATGAAATAAAACTAAACACAATGAAATTTAAAAACTAATAAAAAATCAATCAATTAAATAATAAAATTTTAGTGTATTTATAATAAATAAAATAAAAATACTGTATATTTGCATATGAAGGCGAATTGGATACAGCCCACCACGTTTTTTGTAAGTATGGAAGTCCAACCCATTTAACAATTTTAGTGGGCTAATAATAATTGGGTACTCGAAAGCGTAGCCGGTGGCCCATAAAGGGAAGACCCGAAAAATCATGATTTGCTATCACAACTAATAAAACTATAATATACAAGAAATCATGTGTCAAATAGATTTATCACACATTTATGAAAGGAATTTGAATTTAATCAACTTATAGATCTAAATTATGCAAAATTATAATCATAATTGCATAAGTATAGTAATATAATTTCACGGGAAAGATTCTTATATAACCGCTTGAAGCCCATATTAAGAATTTGAACTTGTTCAAACAATCTTGAATTTTGATATATGATTGTTGTGATCTAATTAACACAAGGTCTATACAATTGTAGTAAACAAACATAATTCTAACGGTTTTGAATTTTCATATATGATTGTTCTGATTTAAATTAATGAACTCTCAAAGTGACAAAGAATTGACTATGAAAAGAGCAGCCCACATGGGTTCACGGGTATTGCAATTGTAAAGAGACAAACTAACTGCTTATCCTTAATAAAGACAAAAAAGAAGAAAAAAATTGAAAGGAACGAAAATGAAAGTATTTTTTTTGTGCCTTAGCAGCTTCAACCATTTTTTGTGGCTAAAGTTTATGAGTTATGGATGATGAGACAGGGCATGATATGAATAGCTTCTATGCAACATGTGAAAGAGTAGCTCTCCATCATTTTCCCATCACATGCACTGGTTACACTCAATTTTCAGAATTGTTTTGGAATGTTGTTTTTTTTTTTTAATACTCATTTTGTTA